ACAGTAGCTCAAAAGAGGGAACAAATCTTTACAGCGAGGATCATTCCCACCCCCACTCCCCCGATACACAGGGTAAATAGGGATGGCAGCAACGTGGACATTGGCTACCCAAAATGGGGGACTACAAAGGCAAGAAGTGACTGGCTTACAAGCTTTCAAGATGGAGCCTAGATCCAGAGTGTGCAGAGAAAGGTAGAATCTCCACTGAGTAGTATCCAATCTGTCTGGGCAGGACTGATGAAAGGAATTGGGGATAGCACTCATGTGGTACAATAGTAAATAATTGCTATCAGTACTGACATGAGAGTTGGAAATGTAAACGTAGATGTTTTGTAGCAAAAGGAGGGGAGCGATTAACTTCATAGTCCAGAAGCAGATATCCCTGGGACCATCAAAGGAGAAGAGTGGAGTGCGGGACCCTACACAGAGAAACAGTGCCATCAGAGATGGAGCGGTTAGGGACTCTAGACCCAGACAGGGAGAGGGGCTGTGTGCTGACAACAGGAGGCAGGCTTGCAGGGTATACCCTTTGGTTGGTTGATGATGCATGGAGGGGATTGTAACTGTGGCAGTGAAACGATACACAATAGGATGAATGCAATGCTAATGTTCTCCCATGTAAACCATTACATAATTTACAATAAAACATTAAAAAATAAACCCAAATGCACTCCCTTCCAGAAAGCTTTCCCATTTTCTTAAAAAAAAGTCGTCTTCACTGTATTAGAGTTCTTTGACAAATGAATACCTTCAAAAAGTAACTTCTCTGGAAGTAGACCTATACTCCATAATGGAAGATGGGCAGACTTTGGAAAAAGTAACTTGTGAATACAATGAACCACAAGCACTTTACCACAATCATTAACTCAGGTGATCTTATAATTTATCATCCAAACTGGGACACTTTTGAATAAAAGGGGATGTTGTTATTAAAAACAAAACAAAACAAAAATCCTATCCCCTCTGTATACAGGGTAGATAGGGACAGGCAACTTAGACATTGGTTACCTAAAATGAGGGGACAATAAAGGCACAAATGTTGATGTTCAACCATTTCAAGCGGTAGCATGTGACCAAGAACCAATGACACTGAAGGAAGAAGTCCAAGGTGCACTGAAGACATTCAGAAAGAACAAGGCACCGGAAATTGATGGAATACAAATTGAAATCTTTCAATAAAGTGATGCAGCACTGGAGGTACTCACTCAAGAAATTTTAAAGAAAACTATCTGACGTGGCACTGTGGGTTAATGCACCAGACTGCAAAGCCATTTGAACTGCGAAGTCGGCGGTTCAAGCTCACCAGCTGCTCCTCGGAAACCCTATATAGGGTCGCTATGGGTCGAACCAACTCGACGGCACTTAACAACAACCTGACCAAATGACTGGAAGAGATCTACATTTGTGCCCTTTCCAAAGATAGGTGACCCAACAGAATGCAGAAATCATTAGACAATATCATTACTATCTCACACAAATAAAATTTTGCTAAAGATAATCCAAAAGCGGCTACAAGCATACATTGACAGAGAACTGCCAGAGGTTCAAGCCTGATGCAGATGAAGGCACAGAATGAGGGATATTACTGCTGACATCAGATGGATCTTGGCGGAAAGCAGAGAATACCAGAAAGATGTTTACCTGTGCTTTAGACTACGCAAAGGCTTTTAATTGTGGGGATCATGACAAGTTATAGACAGCATTGAAGAGAATGAGTATTCTGGAACTCTTAATTGTGTTCATGAGGAACCTGTACGTAGACCAATAAGCAGTTGTTCTAACAGAACAAGGATATACTGAATGGTTTAGAATTATGAAAGGTGTGCACCAGGTTTCACCACATTATTCAATCAGTATCCTGAGCACATAACCCAAAAAGCTGGATTATATGCAGAAGAACGTGGCATTAGGATTGGAGGAAGATTCATTAACAATCTGCAATATGTAGATGATACAACCTTGCTTGCACAAAGAGAAGAGGACTTAAAATACTTACTAATGAAAATCAAAGACCACAACTTTCAGTATGAGTTGCACCTCAATGTAAAGAAAACAAAAATACTCACCACTGGACCAATAAACAACATCCATATAAATGGAAAAAAGATTAAGTTGTCAAGACTTCATTTTGCTCGGATCAACCATCAACACTCAAGGAAGCAGCAGTCAAGAAATCAAATGATGTATTGCATTGGGCAAATCTGCTACTGCACAAGACCTCTTTAAAGAGTTGAAGAGCAAAGATGTCAGTTTGAAGACTAACGTGCCCCTGACCCAAGCCATGGTATTTTCAATAACCTCATATGCATGCGAATGCTGGACAGCGAATAAGGAAGGCCGTAGAAGAATTGATGCATTTGAGTTATGGTGCTGGAGGAGAAGATTAAAAGTACCATGGACTGGCAAAAGAACAAATAGATCTGTGTTAGAAGTACAGCCAGAGTGCTCCCTGGAAGCCACGATGGCCAGACTTTGTCTTTCATTCCCCAGGCTCTGGAGAAGGATATCATGTTTGGTAAAGTGGAAGGTAGTTGAAAAAGAGGAAGACTTCCAACTAGGTAGCACAATGGCAGCAGCAGTGGGCTCAAACATAGCAATGATTGTGATGCGGGTACAGGATTGGGCAGTATTTTTTCTGTTGTGAGCAGGGTCACTATGATTTACCACCAACTCAATGGCACGACTAACAACAACAAACGGGACACAGTTCAAACTTACTATACACTCCTTGGAAACCCTATACAGGGTTGCTATGAGTCATAACTGGGACTTAACAACAAAAACAGTGGCAGAGTAAGTTATTGGACTACTAACTACGAGGTCAGAAGTTCAAACCCACCAATTGCTCCTTGGGAGAAAGATGAGGATGCCTGCTCCCATAAACATTTATAATCTTGAAAACCCTAGGGAGCAGATCTACTCTAACTTATAGGACAACTATGACTTGGAACCAAGTTAATGGCAATTGATTTTTGTGTCTGTATCTTTGGGTTTCTGAGATCCTGAACGTTCCCCACCTCTTCATTACAAACCCAGTGCCCATACAAACCCAGAGCTGCACCCCCATACACCCACTTTCCCCCAACACCCTTTCACACCAGACACATACATACCCCACACACCCACCTTCCCCTGAGCCCCCTCACACCATACACATACACATCTACTTCCCTCCACCTTTTACACCACACATATGCACACCCCCACACACGCCTTTCCTCACCCTCTGTCATACCACATACATACATACACACCACACACACCCATCTACACAAACATCCCACAAACCTCTCACACCCTCTGTGGTGCTCTTTCCTTCCCTTTCAGACACCAGCACACACACGTCAAGCAGACAACCATAGGACCAACCTGGAGAGCCAGGAACCGAGCCTTCAGCCAATATACTCGCACCACAAATTCCAGCCAGCCATCCTCAAAGAGGTCCCGCTGGGAGGAGGCAAATGACAGCTGCAGGAGGTCACCCAGAAAGTGGGTTCCTGGGAAATCAGGCCCAAACCTGCCATTCGCCACCCCAGCAGGGCAATTCCTAGGAGACACTAAAAGGGATCAAATCAAACCAGTCAGTGTTGTGTGCAGGGTCCTCTGGCCCACTCCTGTTCACTAGAGGCTGCCCGGGCTTATAACACATCTGCCCATGGAACCTCAGCAGTCAGACAAGTCAGACAGAACTTTATCCCACAGAGCCTTAGTGTGGCCTTTGGCCTTGATTCTTTGGAAAACCAGCTTCAGAGGGGTAGCCTGAGGAATTACCTTTGTCCTTATTTACTACTCCAGAGGATCTGTTACTTTTGTCCAGGTTAACTGACATTTCCTGGGTAAACTGGGAACAATTTTTGGTTTGATGCTTTTTGTCTGGCTCTGGACTGCAGTCATTCTGTGACTGGTCTTATACATTAACTTTAGGGACTATGAAAATTGAGTGATTTACAGTCCATCAAGGGAATTAATCCAAGTTCATGCTAGAAGAGCTGTGCCTTTAAATTGACCAGGAGTTTGCTTACATAAGCAGCCAATCTTACAGAGGATTTTGGAGAGGCAAAAAGAGAGAAGAAACAGAGAGAAGAGGCAAGGAACCTCCTAAAAGAGTTGCAGTGTGGGTCAGGGGCTGAAGACAGTGTGGGTTTCAGAAGGGGTCCAGCAGAAGAATGGCAGTGATGGCAGAGAACTGAGATTAAGAAAGCAGCTAAGAGAGCTGAACAAGCGGCCTACTGTGGCTCTGAGCTGGGCCAGTTAGCAGGGGAGAGTCAAGCACGGCTGAGACAGCAGTCCTGTACTGAAGAAGGGAAAGATGTGTTCTCTGCTTTGAAGAAGCCTTGTGCTTCCTAGTCCTGATCCCAAATTGTAGTCTAGTACTTCCTTAAGAAATCCCATAACCGTGAGTGGGGGCTGTGAGTTCTGTGTGGTCACTGCAACAAATTACTGGACCTAGCAGAGAAGCAGAGAGAGCTGAAGTGGGGATGGCTGGTGTCAGATATGGTGAACAACTTTGAGTGTGGAGATATGATAGACCTCACCTCACTGGAACCAGCTCCATGCAGATCCTGATTCTTATCCCTCAAGAATTTATGTGATTCCTTATGCTACAGCACAGGTGGATTATGTCACAATCTCTATCATCTGGGAAAGTGACTGGAGCCCAGGCAATTGGAAAATCAGGCACTGGCAGTCCTTGAGGACTCAGTGGCTGCTATCTGCGTTTCTTAGGGCCCTGAGTGAGAGATTCCCATCACTCTGGCTACAGGGGTTTCCAGAATGACCCTGTCACAGGGCACAGACTTTCCTACCTGCAGAACTTCTGCCTTTGGTCAGCAGCCACTGGTCCAGCTGGAGCTCCATGCAGGAAAGTGACATCAGCATCATGTCCTGTGGAACAAGTACTAAGTTTCACTGTGAGACACAGTTCTTCCTTCCACCTGCTTCCACATCACAAGTGATCCTCAGAGAACACACAGAAGTACGAGGGCTGAGGTTAGGACAAGACTTGCAGGAGGTGGGGGGGATAGGGTCCTGTCTTCAAACATGCATGGAGAGAAGCCTTGACTTCACATCCTACTTTGCAATCCTGCCCAGCACAGTGCCCATGAGAAAGCTGAGCTCAGAGACAAGTGTGCACAACTTAGGTCTTCCCATGGCACCACAATGCCCCAGGGAGCAAGGTCTAGTGATAGAGCTACCAGGACACAAGGCCAGGCTGGGCCTCAAAAACTCTGGTCAGTCCCCAGTGTCCCAAGGTCCAGGATACAAAACTGGGATGCATCTCAGGAGCTCTGACAGTCTCTGGAGCATCCTTAGCTGAGGCTGCATATAAGGAGTGCTATGCTAGCCCACGTGGCCCCAGGGACCTAAGACTCTAAGCTCCTGTCTCCTGGGTTACTACCAGCCAGAAAGACCACCCATGTACTGCCTCCCTCCTTATCATTCACCAGGAGTAGGGTATGAGCTCCAGAGTTTGCTTGAGCCTCCAAAGTTCCAGGTGGGAGGAATGTGGTGTGGTCCTCTGTGGGCAGTGGTAGGCAGATGGGCAGGTACAGCTCAGCCTCAGCTGTTTGATGTCCTAACTCCTCTCCTAAACACCTACCTAGCTCTGTACTTTAACTACCTCACCTATTAGAAAACACCAACCGGCAACACTTCCTGCATCTCACATAGCTGAATGCCTCACCTCCTGAGCCTCCTTCCCTGGCTTTCCTCCACCTCAATAAATGACCTTATCAGCCCTAGGCCCAAGGCTTGGGCCACCCCTAGAAACATCCCTCAACCCCATCTCATGCTGCGGAGACAGGGAAACAGCCTTACCTGGCACAGTCACTGCTCCCATCCTCACCTCGAGGCCCCCTCCCCTTGGCCACCAGAGATCTTCCAGACCCAGGTTCACAATGAGGTGCAACCCAGTCTGGGAGGTTTCTCTGGGCTTCAACCCATGCCACTTACCTTGATATGTCCGTTGCTACAGTCCCGCAGCAGTGGGTTGGGCAGGCTGGTGCTATGGCGCCTCCAGCTGTGGTAGATGCTGAGCACAACATCAGCTAGCCCTGGCGGCCAGCGCAGCAGGAACTTGTGGCCCATGGCCTTCAGGTAGCGCATCATCAGCTCCAAAATTCCACCATTGGTCAAGTTTCCCAGCAGGAATTCATGAACGTCCTTTCTCTCTGCCCAAGGGAGAAAGCGTGCTGTGAGTGGAAGGCCTTCCGAGCCAAGTCCTCTAGTCCATCAGAAGGTGAGAGTGGAGAGCCACACACTACCAGCTACCCTCCTGGCTGCGTAGCACAATTCTCAGCCTCATTGTAAGGTGCTCCCTGAAGCTAACCTCCCTGAGACACAATGAAATGAAGGTACATGGTACCCACACAGTAGCTGCCATCACAGACATTCAGACCTGGCCTTACACAAGAGGACTCTGGGAAATTCAACCAAGGACAAGCAGGACCTGGCCACTTGGTGGCCACAAGGGGCTGGCCATGGAACTCAAGACTAAGCCATTCAACCATACTTTAAGAAACCCTCCAAGGACTTCTGGCAAGATGGCACACTAGGCAGATGCATTACATGGACCTTCTACAACAAAGATATAAGAGACAAAATAAAACAGACACCTGAAAATTCTGGCAACCCGAACTTCAGAAGGAAGGTTAGAGAAGTAGATAGAGTGCTGTGAGGAGAGGCTAAGCAGGGGCAGTGAGAGAAACTGACTGGTGAATGGCTGGCCAGACTCAGCTCCACCATCTTGTGAGCAGCTTTGGTGGCAAAGTGAGGCCTGACACAGCAAGTTCGAGCAAATTACAGGAAAAGTGTGGTTTATTCTTTTTACCCATGCTCCCCTGATGAGCAGAAGTGTGACCAGCTCTCACCCTCATTCACTCCGTTCAGACCTTGCTCTCCAGGTGTTCAGAGCCACATAGTTGAGCCAGCGTAAGTTGGAGACCAGGTGTGCCACTCTGATGAGCCACTACAATTCACAGTGGGCTAAGCTCCAGACCTACAAAGCCCACAGAGTCACCAGACCAGCATTTAACCACATCTGTCCTGTGGTCCTGACAGACACTAAAACAAGCTCCATTATGGGTCCTCTGGAACTACTTCCAAACTGAGTGTCCTGAACATAGATATCACTGAGACCAATAGGAACTGCATCTAGGGCCAGGAACTCTGCTGTCACATCCCTTCCACAACCACCTGTGAGCTCCTTGAATTACAGGAGCCCTTCAAAGATTTCTCCCCTCCAGATTCAACAATTGCACCATTTGTTTTTAGAAATACAACAACCCCACAGTACCCCAGGGAAAACAGACAATTCTAGCTCACATTAAGAAACAAGAGAGAATGACTCAAACAAATGACCAATATGCAGAGCCAGAAGACATTTCTGAAGCAAAGGTAATGTAACTAACTGAAAAAGAATTCAAATTAGGTACCTACAAAGGATCGATAGATTGAGAAAAGCAAGGAAAACACAATAAAAACTTTAGAAGAATTCAGGAAAACACTACAAGAACAACAGAAAAAACAAATGCAAATTTAGAAATAATATAAAACCTGCAGTAAGAAATCCAGAAAATTACTACTAAGATTTCAGAAATGGACAATATCTTGAAAGGGAAAAGGAGCAGAGCTAACCAATGGGAGCCCAAATTAGGGAGCTTGAAGATAAATCTCTCAATATTAGTATGCTAGAAGAACAATCAGAAAAAGAAACAGTCTAAAGTAAGCCTAAGCGTTATGTGGGGCCCCAAGAAGAGGACAACTTACAAGTGATTGGAATTCCTGAACAAGAAGAGACAAGCACAGAGCAAACTGTCAGAGTTATTGGAAGAAAACTTCCCTCACATCATGAAAGATGAGAAGATAAGCATACAAGAAGCTGAATGAACCACAAACAAGATAGATCTCAAAAGAAAATCACCAAGATATTATCATAACCAAACTTTCCAAAATCAAAGACAAGGAAAAAGTCCTGAGAGCAGCTTAGGAAAAACAAAAAATTACCTACAAAAGAGAAACAATAAGACTAAGCCCTGATTTCTCAGCAGAAACCAGGCAGGCAAGAAGGCAATGAAATGACACATACAAAACTCTGAAAGAAAAAAAACTGTCAACCAAGAATCATATACCCAGCAAAGCTGTCCTCAAATACATCAGCAAAATTAGGACAGTCCCTGGTAAACAGAATTTAAAGGAATTTGTAATGACCAGATCAATTTTACAAACAAATACAAAAGGGGATTCTTTGGACTGAGAACCAACAACAGCAGACAAAAATCTGAAATTACCATACATGACAACACCATCCAGAACTCCATCCAAATATAGAAGTATTTAAGTAAAACATACCAACAAGACTGAAAATAGGGAACCAGAGGTATCAGTGTATAATGAAGTCAACTACAAAGCAAAAAGAGAAAATGGTGTAGATACAGAATTTTCAAATGGCAAGGAAGCCAGGTAAATTTTAAGATAAAGCAGACTATTTTAAGCAGGGAAAAAATTAATAAATTACAGGGTAACCTTAAAGAAAAATAATACACCTGCACATAAAAATTTTAAAAAAGAGGAAAATCAGAAAGATTTAGTAAATATTAATACAACAGAAATGAAAATAAAGTGAAAACCCATAAAAAAAATGAACTCAGCATAGAAAATAATATGGAACAAAGGATCCAGCAGCACCACACAAAAAACACACAGAAAAATAACAGTCAACTCATACCTATTGATAATTATACTGAATGTAAATGGATTAAATGCATCAGTCAAGAGACATAGAGAGTAAAATTGATATAAAAATAGTATCCTTCAAAATACTGTCCACAAAAAACATTATCAAAAAGATGGAAACACATCAGAAGAGTAAAAAGGGTACCAAGGAACAAACAAGATGGCAGATCCGGTGGACGTATAGCAGAGAGCTCCGCCAACAACAACACAGAATACCCGACCAAGCAGGCTCAGATGATGGTCCCAGAACTCTGAACCACATACAAAGGAATACTTAGAAGGTTGGAAGGCTCACAGCTGGGGG